TGATCTACCACTCCCGACTGAGCGCCATCTAGCATTAACTTAAGTCTCTGACCTTTGAGAGTTTTGGTAACACTTCACTACCCTAGAATTACGCCCACTCTAAGGGCAAACTACCAGTCTGGCTATTATAGTGAAGAAAATGCGACAACTTTCCCACAAACTACCAGTCTGGCTATAGTGAAGAAAATGCGACAACTTTCCCCCAAACTACCAGTCTGGCTATAGTGAAGAAAATGCGACAACTTTCCCCCAAACTACCAGTCTGGCTATAGTGAAGAAAATGCGACAACTTTCCCACAAACTACCAGTCTGGCTATAGTGAAGAGAGTGCGACAACTTTCCCCCAAACTACAGTCTGGCTATAGTGAAGAAAATGCGACAACTTTCCCACAAACTACCAGTCTGGCTATAGTGAAGAGAGTGCGACAACTTTCCCCCAAACAACAGTCTGGCTATAGTGGCGTCGGTGACCTAGTGGTTAGGCTACCGGACTCGTAATCGTGAGGTTGTGGGGTCGGGGGTTCGAGCCGCGGGCCCGACGTTGTGTTCTTGGGAAAGGCACTTTACACGAATTTTCCTCACTTCACCCAGGTGGAAATGGGTACCCGGCCGTAGACAGCGAAAGATCTTGTTAGTATGTTAGTGTTTTAGCACCTATAAATGGCTGCTTGCACTGTATGCTTCCCTGGAAGTTGAGTTTGTTTCAGAATGCTCTCAGGTCTGTTGGGGTAATAGTATAGATTGTGAAGCGCATAGAGTTTGCCGCTGAGCGGGGTTTTCCGCTATACAAATGCTATCTATTTTTATTATTATAGTGTAGAAAGTGCGACAGCTTTGCCCCAAACTACAGTCTAGCTATAATGAAGAGAGTGGGACAACTTTCCCCCTCTACCCCCATTTGCCTCAAACAGTTTTGAGTCAAACAGTGCTCTCCAAAGAGTACCTGAAATACGAAAGAGTACACGACCTAAGATGTTTTTTTTTTGTGTTTTTTGGGGGGGGTAATTGTTTTACGGCGCTCGCAACTGCTTAAGGTCATATGAGCACGCGGGATACATTAAACATTTTCTGTAGGTAGGAAGTTTTGAATTTTGCCCTGGTGGCGGCCGAAGCCTACTCTTATCGATTTTGGACCACCAAGGGATCTTTAACGTGCGCAACTTGCACACGGGAACTCCGAGATTTTTCGCCCTTGTCCGAGAAGGCTTGGGGTAGATCTCTACTATCAGAAGATTAGGGGTGTGGCTGAAAGACAACAGTAAGGAGGAGCCAAGGAGAAGCAGTAGAAGGGCTGCAGAAAGAGTTAGGAGCACAGAGGAGGGGATCTAAGATTTCTTTACAGTACAAATCTATGCCTTGTCCCACATAGGTATGAGCAGCTGTTCCCTCTATACTGCACCGGCTCTCTCAGTCGGGAATTTCTTTTTTGGTAAGTGCTTTACGGCTCTCGCAACTGCATAAGGTCATATGAGCGCCAATGGGTGGATGTCAACAGAGAAGTCCAAACGGGGAATCAGACTTACTCTGCTCACCTCTCTAGCCTCAACATTACAAAGTCTGATTCGACTATCAAGGCACCCGGAAAGAGCAGTTTACAAGAGAGTGACAAACGTACAACAGAAATAAAGGAAAAATGACGATAGTAAGGATGAGGAAAGATAAAGCAGCAGTTCCCCCTATGTTGTTCCGGCACAGTATGAGCATGACATTGATACATCAGCCCATTTACAATTCAGCTGTGCGTAAGAACATGTTAATATCCCCCTTATTGGGAATGGCTTAAAGACAACTTGAGTCAGTAGCCG